AAGCAACTTCTTAGAGACCTACAAAGAGACTCAGACTCCCGCACAATAATAATGGGAAATTTTAACACCCCACTGTCAATATTAGATCGACAAGACAGAAAATTAACAAGGATATTCAGGACTTGAACTCAGCTCTGGACCAAGCAGACCTAATCGACATCTACAGAACCCTCCACCCCAAATCAACAGAATATACATTCTTCTCAGCACCACATTGCACTTATTCTAAAACTGACCACATAATTGGAAGTAAAACACTCCTCAGCAAATGTAAAAGAACAGAAATTATAACAAACTGTCTCTCAGACCACAGAGCAATCAAATTAGAACTCAGGATTAAGAAACTCACTCAAAACTGCATAACTACATGGAAACTGAACAGCCTGCTCCTGAATGACTACTGGGTAAATAACAAAATTCAGGCAGAAATAAATAAGTTATTTGAAAACAATGAGAAAAAAGACACAGCATACCAGAATCTCTGGGACACAGCTAAAGCAGTGTTCAGAGGGAAATTTATAGCACTAAATGCCCACAGGAGAAAGCAGGAAAGATCTAAAATCGACACCCTAACATCATAATTAAAAGAACTAGAGAAGAGCAAACAAATTCAAAAGCTAGCAGAAGATAAGAAATGACTAAGATCAGAGCAGAACCAAAGGAGAGAGACACAAAAAAAGCCTTCAAAAAAATCAGTGAATCCAGGAGCTGGTTTTTTGAAAAGATTGATAATTAGCCAGACTAATAAAGAAGAAAAGAGAGAAGAATCAAATAGACACAATAAAGAGAAGAATCAAATAGAAACAAAAAATGATAAAAGGGAGATCACCACCAATCCCACAGAAATACAAACTACCATCAGAGAATACTATAAACACCTCTACACAAATAAACTAGAAAATCTAGAAGAAATGTATAAATTCCTGGATACATACACCCTCCCAAGACTGAACCAGGAGGAAGTCAAATCCCTGAACAGACCAGTAACGAGCTCTGAAATTGAGGTAGTAATAAATAGCCTACCAACCAAAAAAAGCCCAGGACCAGAAAGATTAACAGCCAAATTCTACCAGAGGTACAAAAAGGAGCTGGTAGGCACCATTCCTTCTGAAACTATTCCAGACAATAGAAAAAGAGGGACTCCTCCCTAACTCATTTTATAAGGCCAGCATCATCCTTATACCAAAACCTGGCAGAGACACAACAAAAAAAGAAAATTTCAGGCCAATATCCCTGATGAACATCAATGCGAAAATCTTCAATAAAATACTGGCAAACCAAATCCAGCAGCACATCAAAAAGCTTATCCACCACAATCAAGTTGGCTTCATCCCTGGGATGCAAGGCTGGTTCAACAAACACAATCAGCCAGGTGCAGCAGCTCACGCCTGTAATCCCAGCACTTTGGGAGGCCGAGGCAGGTGGATCATGAGGTCAGGAGATCGAGACCATCCTGGCCAACACAGTGAAACCCCATCTCTAATAAAAATACAAAAATTAGCTGGGTGTGGTGGCGTGCGTCTGTAGTCTCAAGTACTCAGGAGGCTGAGGCTTGAATCAGGAGGCAGAGGTTACAGTAAGCCAAGATTGCACCACTTCACTCCAGCTTGGGTAACAGAGGGAGACACTGTCTCAGGAAAAAAAAAAAAACAAATAACAAAAAAAACATATGCAAATCAATAAACATAATCCATCGTATAAACAGTACTAACGACAAAAACCACATGATTATCTCAATAGATGCGGAAAAGGCCTTCAATAAAATTCAACATCCCCTCATGCTAAAAACTCTCAATAAACTAGGTATTAGCTATTTCTGACAAACCCACAGCCAATATCGTACTGAATGGGCAAAGGCTAGAAGCATTCCCTTTAAAAACTGGCACAGGACACGGATGCCCTCTCTCACCACTCCTATTCAACATAGTATTAGAAGTTCTGGCCAGGGCAATCAGGCAAGAGAAAGAAATAAAGCGTATTCAAATAGGAAAACAGGAAGTCAAATTGTCTCTGTTTGCAGATGACATGATTGTATATTTAGAAAACCCCATCATCTCAGCCCAAAATCTCCTTAAGCTGATAAGCAACTTCAGCAAAGTCTCAGGATACAAAATCAATGTGCAAAAATCACAAGCATTCCTATACACCAATAATTGACAAAGAGCCAAATCATGAGTGAACTCCCATTCACAACTGTTACAAAGAGAATAAAATACCTGGGAATACAACTTACAAGGGATGTGAAGGACCTCTTCAAGGAGAACTACAAACCACTGCTCAAGGAAATAAGAGAGCACACAAACAGAAAAATATTCCATGCTCATGGATATGAAGAATCAATATTGTGAAAATGGCCATACTGCCCAAAGTAATTCATAGATTCAATGCTATGCCCATCCAGCTACCACTGACTTTCTTCACAGAATTAGAGAAAACTACTTTAAATTTCATATGGCACCAAAAAAGAGCGTGTATGGCCAAGACAATCCTAAGCAAAAAGAACAAAGCTGTAGGCATCACACTACCTGACTTAAAACTATACTACAAGGCTACAGTAACCAAAACAGCATGGTACTGGTACCAAAACACATATATAGACCAACAGAACAGAATAGAGACCTCAGAAATAACGTCACACCTCTACAACCATCTGATCTTTGACAAACTGGACAAAAACGAGCAATGGGAAAAGGATTCCCTATTAAACAAATGGTGTTAAGAAAACTGGCTAGCCATATGCAGAAAAGTGAAACTGGACACCTTCCTTACATCTTATACAAAAATTAACTCAAGATGGGTTAAACATAAGACCTAAAACCATAAAAACCCTAGATGAAAACCTAGGCAATACCATTCAGGACACAGGCATGGGCAAAGACTTCATGACTAAAACACCAAAAGCAATGGCAACAAAAGCCTAAATTGACAAATGGGATCTAATTAAACTAAAGAGCTTCTGCACACCAGAAGAAACTATCATCAGAGTGAAAAGGGAACCTACAGAATGGGAGAAAATTTTTGCAATCTATCCATCTGACAAAGGGCTGATATCCAGGATCTACAAGGAACTTAAACAAAGTTACAAGAAAAAAACAACCCCATCAAAAAGCGGGACAACCCCATCAAAAAGACGCTTCTCAAAAGACATTTATGTGGCCAACAAACATAGGAATAAAAGCTCATCATCACTGGTCATTAGAGAAATGCAAATCAAAACCACAATGAGATACCATCTCACACCAGTTACAATGGCGATCATTAAAAAGTCAGGAAACAACAGAAGCTGGAGAGGATGTGGAGAAACAGGAATGCTTTTACACTGTTGGTGGGAGTGTAAATTAGTTCAACCATTGTGGAAGACAGTGTGGTGATTCCTCAAGGATCTAGAACCAGAAATACCATTTGACCCAACAATCCCGTTATTGGGTATATATACCCAAAGGATTATAAACATTCTACTATAAAGACATACGCACACATATGTGTACTGCACCACTATGCACGATACCAAAGACTTGGAACCAACCCAAATGCCCATCAGTGATAGACTGGATAAAGAAAATGTGGCATATACACACCAAGGAATACTATGCAGTCATAAAAAAGGATGAGTTCATGTCCTTTGCAGGGACATGGATGAAGCTAGAAACCATTATTCTCAGCAAACACAGGAACAGAAAACCAAACACCACATGTTCTCACTCAAAAGTGGGAGCTGAACAATGAGAACACATGGACACAGGGAAGGGAACATCACACACCAGGGCCTGTCAGGGGTGTGGGGCTAGGGGAGGGATAGCATTAGGAGAAATATCAAATGCAGATGATGGGTTGATGGGTACAGCAAACCACCATGGCACATGTATACCTATGTAACAAACCTGCACGTTCTGTATATGTATCCCAAAACTTAAAATATAATTAATTTAAAAAAAGAGAGAGAAAGACAAATGTCTCTTAAAAATGATATTCAGGGCTGGGCACGGTGGCTCATGCCTGTAATCCCAGCACTTTGGGAGGCCGAGACAGGTGGATCACAAGTTCAAGAGATTGAGACCATCCTGGCCCCGTCTCTACTAAAAATACAAAAATGAGCTGGGCGTGGTGGCGTGCAGCCTGTAGTCCCAGCTACGCGGTAGGCTGAGGCAGGAGAATCGCTTAAACCTGGGAGGCAGAGGTTGCAGTGAGCCGAGATCGTGCCACTGCACTCCAGCCTGGTGACAGAGTGAGACTTCATCTCAAAAAGAATAATAATCATATGCATGCTGACTTTCCCGCTAACTGATCAAAATGAATGAATTCTTTTGTCAGTGTTCTGGTCACTCCATATGGACAGAAACCCCCTGGGAGAAGGACCAATGCCTTCCAGCCTGGAGCTCTGTGGGCTGCCCCTCACTCCTGCTGTCTCCTCTCACCCCCACCTTCATCACAGCTGTTGGATGGGACCACAGCAGGACATCTTCAGGGTCCGCCTTGTTTTGGCAGAGGGGCCCTGGCGTATCTTAGTACGGCACGCAGACACTTGTGAGTGGCCACCACTAGTCCTCCACATTGCCATTTACACACGTCTCCCTCCTAGCCAGGGCCACTCACAAGTGTGCCTAACTTGGCAATTTTTTTTTTTTTTTTAAATTGAGATGGGGGTTTCTCTCTTGTTGCCCAGGCTAGAGTGCAACGGCGTGATCTCAACTCACTGCAGCCTCCGCCTGCCAGGTTCACGCGATTCTCCTGACTCAGCCTCCTGAGTAGCAGCTGGGATTACAGGCATGCGCCACCACACCCAGCTAATTAAAGGCGTGAGCCACCATGCCCGGCCTGCAATTTCTTCCATTCTGGCCTGAGTGACTAGGTTGGAAATGAGTACTGGATAAAGTTCTGGTTTGACTTTGATGCATGTGGCTATTCTTATCACCACCCACAGCCAGCACCTGGACCACAGAGAAGCTCCCAGGGCACTTTCACCTTCTGGAGTGGCAGTGCCCAGGACCACAAGCACTCACCTTCAGAGCCCTTCTGCTTCCGCTCCACCTCCCTGCGGTACTCCTCCAGCTCGCGGTCTGTGAGCGTGGTGAAGGGGTTGGGGCCCGTGGTGCTCACGATGACGTGGGGCTGGTACTCCTTCTCAATGATTGCCTTGGAGGCCGTCACCAGCTCTCCCTGTGGATGAAAGGCATGTCTGGTCTGCAGGAGCCCAGTCCAGCGGGGACTCTCCCTCCTCCCAGGCAGGCTACAGGCAGGGCGGGGACAGGAGGCTTTCCAGGAGCAGACACCCTTGAGACGGCACTGCCATGGGCCCGAGGCCTAAGCTGAGCTGCAGCCTTCAGTGGTAGATATGGAAACACAGGTCAGTGCCACGATGAACAGACATTAACCGCAGAAGAAATCCTACAGAGCCTTCCAGGTTTCAGAAGCAAAAGCCCAATGCAGACCCAAGAGCACAGAGCACCTCAGGGAGGGTGCCCGCTACTCCTCTCTGTCGAACAGAAGGGGAAAAGGCCCTTTCCTGTTACTGTTTAAAAGTCAGTAACTTTTCCTCATGACATCAGAAACTGTCACAAACTACAACATAAGGCATGCTCAGAGCTGTGCTTATATTCTAAGAGCACAGGTAAGTTCTGTTCTTTTGACTATGGTTAGTTTATAACTAGTTCCTGGAATTTATCCCAAAACATTCAGAGATAACAAAATGTCCCAAGACACCAGTGTTTAGCTGAGGAATTTGGAAAACTGAACATTTGTACCAAAGAAAAAAAGAAGAAAGCAAAGCGAAGCACAAAGGCGGCTCACAGATCACACCAATCTTAAAGCAGGAGGGAGCCTGAGGCCAACACAGTGGGCCAGGTGGGTGTCAGGGGTGAGGTCCACTCACAGCCACCTGCCCCAGCACAGTGCTGTGCCCACAGTGCAGCCTGATTGGGCCAGGGGCAGGAAAATGTCCCCCAATTCCCTGGAGCTCTTTTCCTTCTTTTTTTTTTTTTTTTTTGAGATGGAGTCTCGCACTGTTGCCCAGGCTGGAGTGCAGTGGCACAATCTCGGCTCATGGCAAGCTCCACCTCCCGGGTTCACGCTATTCTCCTGCTTCAGCCTCCTGAGTAGCTGGGACTACAGGCACCCGCCACCACGCCCAGCTACCCTGGAGCTCACTTCTAAGACAGTTACCCAGCGCTTACACACATGCACATGACTGAACGACAGCTTCCAAAACCAAATAAAAACAGGAGAATCCACAATTCTTTGAATGCCAGGCCTGGTCCTTTAGTGTTCCTCTCAGTGAGGGATGAACACCAGAGATAAAGAGTGTCCTAGCAGGACTGACTTGGGAAATTCAACTCACCCGGGCTGACTGCTCCTCAAGCAGAGACGGAGGAGCCTGGATTGACTGGGATGGGCTGAGGGGTTACCAACTAGCATGCTGCGTACCCGGTGCTGACTAGTGACACAGAGCCCAGAGCCCCAGGAGGGACAGATGGACTGCTGGAATAGGCAACCTTTGCCCGGGAGACTCTCGACAGTCAACAGGTCAAGGGGAACCCTCTTCTGAACCAGGTCTGACTTGAGGCCCATTGACTTTTCATTAAGAAGCTGCCCTACCTCACCAAGACAGGAAACTGAGTCCTGTCTGCCATGTGTTAGCTCTGTGGCCTGAGCCAAGTCTTTCCCTGACCAGAGGCCTGCCTCACTATCTGAAGGAGGACCGGCTGGGCTGTCCACTGCTAAGAGCCCTCACACGATGGCACCCTAGAGACAGTATCCCAGCAAAGGCAGTTTGGCTGGCTGCACCTGCATCCTGATATCACTGCCAATGAAATGAGAAGGTGACACAAGAGAAACGCTTAAGTTCATTTCAATCAAATGGTTAAAATCAGTAAAGGAATCAAACATCAAGAATCAACTATCAGGCCAGGCACAGTGGCTCACACCTGTAATCCCAGCACTTTGGGAACCTGAGGCGGGTAGATCACCTGAGGTCAGGAGTTCAAGACCACCCTGGCCAACACAGCGAAAACCCGTCTCTACTAAAAATACAAAAAAGTTAACCAGGCGTGGTGGTGGGCACCTGTAATCCCAGTTACTGGGGAGGCTGAGGCAAAAGTATCACTTTAACACGGGAGGCAGAGGTTGAGGTGAGCCGAGACTGCGCCACTGCACTCCAACCTGGGCGAGAGAGCAAGACTCCGTCTCAAACAAACAAACAAAAAGAATCGACTATCAGTCAGGCACCACAGCTCATGCCTATAATCCCAGCAGTTTGGGAGGCCAAGACAGAAGAATTGCTTGAGCCCAGGAGTTCAAGATCAGCCTGGGTAACATAGTGAGACCTCGTCTCTACAAAAAATTTAAAAATTAGCCAGGTGTGGTGGCATGCACCTGTAGTCCAGCTACTGAGGAGGCTGAGGTGGGAAGATTCCTTTGGCCTGAGAGGTAGAGGCTGCAGTGAGCCATGACTGCAACACTGCACTCCAGGCTGGGCCACAGAGTAAGATGCTGTCTCAAAATAAAAATCCATTGGCACAGAGACACCAAAGCCCTTGTTCCCAATTTTGATGCCCCAAAGGACAAGCGGGGCTCTCTCACACTGAGAGAGCTGAAGCCCGAGGCACAGCGCAGCAGGTCCCTGCCTCCAGTGGTGGAGAGCGCCCTCCTCCAAAGACCACAGCTAAAGGCCAAGCTGCTGTCAAGACTAGTTACGGGAACAGAGAATCACATTCCTCTGCAAGAAAGGACACAGAGCAATGACTGAGATGCAGAGAAACATATGCCACTCATGGACAACCCAGGCAAGAAACCAAGATGTACCTAGCTTCCCCTCCTGCCACTCCCCTCACCTTCCTGTCACCTGACAAGGCTCTAAGGCAAAACACAGGCCCGGTAACACTTTCCATACTTGACTGAGGCAGCCTGGGTGGAACAACAGCTCTGCCTGAGGTTGTGCAAACTGCGCTAGCGGCTGACCTCTCTGACCATCAGGTTTTCATCTACAAGCAGGGCCGACTTGGATCTGGACTGGCATTCCCAGTGCTGGACCATGCACAGGTTAGGTGCTCAACACAGGTCAGTGAGAGAATCCGAGGGCTGAGCTTACTGCCCCTCTGCATTTCTACCACACAGCATGAAGGGTGACAGGGAACACAGCCCCCGGTGAGGTGCACATGGGAACACAGAGTCCTTCCCTGGGCTGAACAGCTTGCAGTATAGACACACATCTTCATCTCTAATCCTTCATTTCACTTAAAATTGAATCCAGAAGGCAGCCAAAATTATTTCAGGTTATGCCGGATAAGGTGGCTCACACCCTAAAATCCCAGCATTTTGGGAGACTGAGTCAGGTGGACTGCTTGAGCTCAGGAGTTTGAGACCAGCCTGGGCAACATGGCCAAAACCAGTCTCTACAAAAAAATACAAAAATTAGCCAGGTGTGGTGATGTGCACCTGTAGTCTCAGCTACTCAGGAGGCTGAGGTGGGAGGAGGGAGGATTTCTTGAGCCTGCGAAGCGGAGGTTGCAGTGAGCCAAGATAGCCCAACCACACTCCAGCCTGGACAACAGAGTGAGACCCTGTCTCAAAAAATACATATATATGTATCTGTATTTCAGGTTATATGTTATGACACCCAAAGGAAAGTCAACACAGCCTTCGGCTGGGCTTAGAACTCCTGTTTGAACTCTGACTCACTGTCCCTTCTTCTATCAGAAGGCAACACTTGTACTGTGCGAATGGCCATTGCCAGTGAGGGAGAAATGGAAGGCAAAGGAAAGTCCTTTCCAGAAAATCCCCAGCTCCCTAAGTCCCAAATACCCGTTCCTCAGGTTCTCAGATGGGAAGTAGGTATCTACGTGCTCGCCGCGCTGGGGAGGGGAGTGTGTAGGACACAGTCCTCCTTGCTTGGTCAAGGAAAAATTCAACTTCTTAACATGCAGCGCCATGTTCCAAAAGAAGCAAGACTGACTATGCTTTGAGGTTCACATGAAAGGAAGTGGAACAATCGCCCTGTAAAGGACTCCCATGGAGCCAAAGCACATTCTCACCAAAAAGAGGGTATTTTAGCCAGTGTGGGATAAACACCAAGGGTGCAAAACTGAACTTCAGATACAAGGAGGCAGAGAAAACACAAAGCTGAAACAAGGATTTCTGTCCAGGGGGTCAACCTCTTCCTATGGGGTCAGTGTACAGTGGTATTCTCTGCTAATTACACCTGGATGCAGCACTCGCAGCGAGCATGGTGTTCAGAAGGTAGAGACCCTACCTCTGTCGTTCAGGAAACACCCAGGTGACTGTGACACACACCCACATCTGAATATCACTGGGACAGAGCACACAAAGCTGTAACTGGTGGTTGAACACGGCGACCCAGGCTGCTTTCTGGAGAGCCCTAACAAGGTCCTCAGTGCTGCCCTCATGTGGGCTCTACACAGCAGGCCAGCTGGGCTCATGGCCTGCACAGCCCTCACACACCTGAGAGAAAGAATAACTGACAAGACCGCAACAAAGTGCCCAAAGATGAAAAACAAGCAACGGGCAGAGTCATCTTTCTCCCCTGCTATGAGAAGTTCTTCCAAGAATGGCAGCCGGAAGTATGCTCTAAGCACAGGGAAAAACAGGACCTGTGGAATTAATAAGTAAATATGCAAAATAATGTTATTAGCAGGGATTAGACAGGAATACAGAATCTTTGCTACAAACCCGCTTCTATATGGGAACTGGAACACCACTAAAGTGACATGTGCATCTGAATGAAGGTGTGTCAAGTGAAAGAGACGGTTCTGGAAATTTCCTTTGACAAGAATATAAACATGCCTCTCAGCTAAGACTCAACCATGCAGTCAGGCACTTTCTGCCCAGGGCACCAGCTCCTGCACACTAGCAGCCTAATGCTTAGGGAAGGTTTTCTTCTATGAGGGTGGGTTCAGACAGATCTTCCACCTACTGCACACACTAGGTACGCATGCACAGAGGGAAATTACGATGTGGGGTTTCAAACTCTCCTAAGTCTTTCTGCTCTGCGGCATTTAAAAATGTTATTTAGGGTTTATTTTTGAGATAAATAAATACATTTTATCAACAAGGGCTGACAAAGACTGTCTGAATTCCCATTCCTCTGAAATGACATCTTTCAATGATATGACCTCCAGTGGCTACACTGATGACATTTACAGCCAAAGCTGAACCAGCAAGTGTGGAAGGGCACTCAGGAGTGGCCGCTGCCAACAGCAACAGACTGCCCAGAAGAGCCTGTCTGCAGTCAGCATCGTGGAGAAGGCAAAGTCCCGTGCGGAACTGCGGAAATGCACCACATCACTCAGACTGGCCATTTCTCAGCAACAACTTCGAATGCTGGAGATTATCATCACGCCTCATACCAAATGTTTTAATTAAAGAATCGAGCAGGTAGAACAGAACCTTCTGTACAATCTCACAAACAGTTTAAAGAGCCATTTGAAGCTACTTCAGTAACTAAGACAATGCCTGAAGAGAGGAGACAGGGAGAGGGGAAGGGAGGGGAGCAAGGCGCATAGACAGGTAGTGAGGACAGGGCAGTGAGTACCTTTCTAAAAGAGAGAGATTTAGCGGGACTAAAGGTCTGCTCTGTAAGCTCGAGCCCTTCGATAGTTTCCGTACAGTCAGAGAGAGGTGCATCCTGAAACAGTAAACTGAGTCACCAGAGCACACCAGGCCCAGCCTGTGAAATATCAGCTGAGAGCACAGGATGGAGCTGGCTAAGAGCATGCAGCAGGGACAGCTGTCAACAGTAAATGTGGTGGTGATGATGGCGGGACGTGCAGACACTGAACATGAAACCAGGACCACGGCTGGCCAAATCCAACAATCGTCTACCCCTGCAGAGTCAGGTGTTAAAGCATTAGGTGGCATATTAGTTTTCAGAGATAACTACTTAAACAATTATCTTCAATTATCTTCAATGCCACAAGGCAGAGTCATTTTGTAGAAACGTGTGTGAATGTGCACCACATTTACAGGCACCCAGCCCTCTGCAACCCAAGCAGCACTTTGTTGCAGACAGCAGTATGTACCACAACAAGAGTCCCTTAAGCCCGCCCTCTCCTAGCACCTTACACAGAATGCTGCTGAACCCGGGCCAAATCTAAGCCCCAAAGCTGGTGGTGTATGTGCCACCCTCATATATGCATGCATTACAAGGGGCGGGACCAGACGGGCATGCTCGCTCCATCTAGAACTCAAGGAAAAGTGCCTGGACTATTTCTCATCATGAAGGTTTTAACAAAGGTAACTGGTTGCCTAGAATACTTACCTCATAAAGTCACTCTCTCAATTTCAGAATAACTTTGGAGAAGGCGGTCACACAGCCACCACCCACTAATGTCAGAGACACTCTGGGCTCTCACCTGGACGAGGCTCCTGTCCATCACTACACCACACAAAACCTGGGACTGAGGGCCAGCCGTCTTAATGTCCTGTAAATTCTGCTCTCGGATCTGAGGATAGGAAGGAGAGGCACATATCAGCGGTCCTGAGCAGCCATGCTGCCTGGGAGCCATGCTGCTATGCACTTGGGCCCCAGCCACATGGAAGCTACACTTCAGCTCTCCCCGTGCCCTACGCAGGCAGGATGGCCCCATGTGTTCTGAGTGAGCGCCATGCCCGCTTAGTGGGGTGTTGGTCTGCAGGGATGGAGACTATTCCCAGCTCCCCACATCTTTCAGATGCTTGAGCAGGGCACCTATCTCTCACTATCATTAACTTGGTGTCATTAACACTCTCTGCAAGTCCATTGTCTAGTGATGTGAGCACTGGCAGGGCTCCTGCTCTGATAAACCAAATGCCACTCACAAGTCTTTGAACGAACCCTGAAAATCAGGGACAGGAGTCTGCTCTTGTTAAGAACAGGTTTTGCAGCTTCCAGTTCTGACCTGTGAGCAAACATCAGTTCACGAATCAACAGGGCCCAAACAAAATGTCTGCTGCTCATACTTCACACTGCTGGTAGAACAGCAGCAGTGGGAAGAGATGGCTTCAGTTACAACAGTGGCAACAACAGCAGATGTCCTCTGCTAGAAGCAAGCACACCCCCCGCCAAACCAAAGCAGCTAGCATCCCTTCCAATCCCACACCCAAGCCCCCACTGAGTGCCGACGCAGGACACACCTTGTTCCTCATCTCCTGGACCTCTTTTGGGTTAGTGTTCAATGGAACAAACAGGTTAGGGACAGCAGAGGTGGAAGTTCTATGTCCATCCTCTTTAGTCCACTGTAATATCAAGAACAGTTGAAAAGTCAGAATTATGACAACAATAAGTGACACAGCATCCAATCTATCCAGTTTATCTCACATCTGGTCATGCACTGAACATCACAGAGAGGAATGAACCAATGACCACATCTTCTGGGTCACTCAGCAGAGTCGCCATGGGAGCAGGATGCAGCCACATGAAGACCAGTTAATAGTGGAAGTCAAAGTCATGACTGATGGAAAAGGACCATCTGGAAAGCCCAGCTGAATCTGGGTCACAACGTAGGCTGACGACAGAACTGAGCCCCATAACCCTGGGACCAGCAGGGGAGGTCCCTCAGAGACCATTGGTTCACCGCTCTGAAAATCATCCAACACCAAAGCCAACTGGAAGCATGAGATGACAGGGTCATGAAAAGCAATGTGATGCTGCTACCCGGGGGTAGGGAGGAGCCTGCACCGTGAGGCAAGAGTGGGCATCACCAAAGTTTTGTGTTAAAATAAATGACAGCATCAGAATGCACTGTCTGCATAACTATTTCAACCCAAGAAAATTACTGTACGGACACTTACACAGTAGCTACCTGGAAGAAGAGTTTGGTGATGTCGAATATTTTATATAACTTAATATTTTTGAGTGTTACAAAAATATCCCAAACAAACTTGAAGCGCTTCATGAGTCCTTAATATTTAAAGGCTGTTTTAGTATCAGTGCATCTCGTCAGCATGCTCAGCCTTCCACTCATAATTTTTTTTTGGATCTCCAATCAAATTTGAGATTTTTCTTCAAATTCTAAGGCATGAGTAAGCACTGAACATTAAAACAAGCCCATCTTCGAGAGCAAATGTTATGCCTTTCAGAATACTTTCGAGAGGCAGTAAGATAGCCATAAACCATACAACTTTAAAAAAAAGCAACAAAACCATCAAATGCTGAGCCACTGCGAGGAGAGTGTGGAATGGGCATGGAGCTGTGGGTACTCACTGATGGTTATCTTCTCAGATAAAAACAACTCCAGCGTTTTATTAAAAATAATTTTCAGTCAAAACATTCAAACAGCAACCTCAGAAACTCGAACACATTTGAAAAAGTAACAACAGTCATTATAAATGAAAAGATACCAACCTGGGAGCACTGCATGGAATCTGTATCCCTCCAGAACAGTAAGAAACAAATTTAAATGCGGAGCAAGGCCTCCCCTTGGATGTACACATTGACTAAAAGGCCTAAAGTGACTTCATTGTTTTGCAAGCTAATGGTAAATAAAGCTCGCGCTGCTGCCTGAACACTTGGGGAAAATTCCTCATGACAACTCAGCACTGTGCTTCACATCAGCCACAGAAAGGTGTTTTGGGTTTTTTTTTGTTTTTTGTTTTTTTTAATAAGGCCCACTTCCTTTAACAAGTGAAACAACTAAAAAATAAACAAATGAAAGAAAAGGGGAAGACAAGGAAGGGGGGGAAAGGAGACAAGGAGGGAGGAGAGACGAGGAGAGACGCACTCCCACGCTCGGAGCCCCACGGCCACACAGGGTCCCTGCCCAGGTGCCATGGCCGCTCAGGAGCACAGAGGCTTCTCACCAACTGCATCAGGAAAACACCAGGACCACCTGGGGAAGACACAACTTTTTTCTTTAAATAAATCTATAAAGCAAAGCACTGTTAGAAGGGGAAAAGAAAGCCCCGCTTTATGTATTTGGTTGCCCAGGTTTTAGGAGCATCGAATCTAACTTCAACTGAACTCCTAATGAACTAGTCATGCATAGATGAGTCTGCTTCAGCCTCTGTCTCCTCCATTCCAGGGGCTTCTGGAAATGGGCCTCTTCTACGGTTTAAAGCAGAGCTGGGTGGACTGTTAGAGGTAGGTTACAGGAGGAGTAAAGACCGATCTTCAGAGGAGGTCTCAGTACCACGACATGGGAGCACCTCTCAGGGCAAACAGTAACTGAGCGGCATTACCGCTGAAACGAAGCACCCTTGCAGCGTCTGTCGCTGGTGCCTGCAGATGGCCTGCGCTGCACTTGGGTCATGCCGCACCCAGCAGGAGTCAGAAGATGACTCACTACTATGGCCGTCTACTCACATGCAACAGTCCATGCAGAGGGCAGCTGGGGGTGTGCATTCGGAGGCTTTGGGATAGAAAGCAGGGGAGTAACACTAAGGACAGGGGACAAGGGTCAGCAGAGAACACGCCAGGGAGCCACGAGGGAAAACTGCTTAAGAAAACACTGAAGACTTAAAGAAGAAACTCTAGTGACTTGAAACCACTGGAGTCCATAACACTAAAATATCAGGTTTAGGACTGAAGTGTCTTTTTGTGCATGAAATATTAAGAGTCCCTGAATACAATTTGAATTAAATCAGAAGAGCTCCTATTTGTAGGTTAATACATGTACACTATTTTGTATTTCTGCTATATACGGAGATACACTGGAACTACTGCAGAGTCACATTACATCTTAAGCAGTTTCAAGCAGACAGTATTACCCGGATTTGAGTAATGCATTCAGTGGACTTAGATTCAGAACTACAAGAAAGTGAATAAGGAAGGTTCGCTTTACACCTGGGTCAGAAAGGCTGGATTCCCAAAGCCTCCGAAGCCCCAGCTACCCAACTTGCTCTACATCATCTAACTATGAACAGTAAGGTAGGCACAGACCAAGCAGTTGGTAATACAGCTTGGCACGCAGACACCGGACGAGAGAGACTGCAGCAAGGGTTTCACGTGATCGTGTGTAATGTTCGTCCACACCTTAGTCTTCGACTTGGGACTGCTTCCATTCTGCCCCTCCTCGGAAGCTTCATCGCCCCGGCCAGAGTTCAGCCATCTTGTCTTCTCCCGCTGCTGCTTCTGAAAACTGTGTCTGAGAGGGGAGCAAGTGCCCGAATCACCGTCACTACCAAAGGAGTAACCTGTGACACTAGCAGGAACTTCCACATCGCTGTATTTTTTAGACTTCTCTCTCAGAGCAGGGTATCGATAAGGGTAGCCAGTTCTGTAGCCCTAGGGTCCAAGGAGAGTGAAACACAGTCAATATTCCAGATCTCAAAACAGGGTTTCACTTTGGAAAATCATGTGGAAATACCCACAAAAGTTGAACACATGCATACCCTATGACTCAGCAATTCCACTCCTAATTTTATACCCAACAGAAGCAAACGTGTTCACCAAAAAGCCAGGTACTAAAATGTGAAGAGCAACCCTACTCCTCGTAAACCACAGTTGGAAACAACCCAAAAGTCCATCCGTATAAGAGATGGATAGTGTACTGTCTTCATAAGATGGCCTAGAGAAACACAATGTGCTCTAAACCAACCACGTGGATGACTCTCCTGAAGGCAAAGCTGAGTGAGAGAGACCAATCTGCAAAAAACATAGACCATGTAACTCCATTCATTAAAAGTGCAGAAGATGCAAAACAGCCTTTGTTTTGGTTGTCCTGGGAGACAGGACAGTTGTCACCCCTGGGATGGGACAAGTGAACTGAAGGAGGTGCTGGGGATGTTCTGAGGTGCTGCTACTGTTGCTCTTATTGACTGCTGGTTATACAGAGGGTTCAGTTTTTAAAAATTAACAAACTGAACACTTGCGGTAGGTGTACTCTCTTGCTTACATATCTCAGCAAAAAATTAAAGTTGAACACCCAAACAGGGCTTACATGCTGCCAGCTACTGTGCAGGTTATATTCATCAACCTACTTAATAGATTTTTACCTCTTAAGTTACAGTTTAAATACTGTGATAATCTTTAGGTAAGTAAGGTAAATAAGTATACTCATGACAACCGGTTCTCAGCAAAATTACTTTACATCTGAATACAACAACATTCAAATTCACCTCCAGCTCTGCCTCATGACCATGTATGTGCTCTGTGGTAAAAGACGGCCCCACTTACTTCACACTTCTACTGGACCAACTCGTCTGCAGAGTCCTCCCACAGACAGCATCTCTAAGGGCAAGGACGGTGTCCTCTGCATGTCTCCTGGCCAGTGCTTACCACTTGTTAAGTGTGACAGACAGACTTCACAGTGGCCCCAGGCCCCCAGCTCCTATAATCCCCTCCCACCTTGAGCATGGGTGAGATGTCTGACTTGCTTCTAAGTAGTAGAATTCACAAAAGGTGATGACGGGCTATATCACAGAAGAGTGTAGCGCCTGTCTTATAAGAGTCTCTCTCTCCACTGCTGGATCTGAAGAAGCAAAGCTGCCAAGAATGCTTCAGCCCTAAGAAAAGGAATTCTGTCCGCAGTCTAGAAGAGCCTGGATGTGGATCCTCTGAGTCAAGTCTCATGATGAGAACCAGCCCTAGCCAACAGCCTGAATGCAGCCTTTATGAGACCCTAGGTTGAGTTCGCTGTGCCTGGACTCCTGCTCCATAGAAGCTGGGAAATAAATGGCTGCTGCTCGAAGCCGCCAGGTCTGTAGTGATTTGTTGCACAGCACAGACAGGTAATACAGGGGATGCCAAAGAGCTGTCTGCTAAACAACCTAACAGATTCGCACCTGAACCAAGTCACTCACAGCACCTTCACAATACATCACAAGAGAATTAGGACTTGGAAGGACTGCATGGGGCCAGACATACAAGAAACTTCAGTGGCCTGTGCCCTGCTGGCTACGGCACTCTAGAAACATACTTCTCAATTCAGAATTCTCTCTCCCCTCTGCTCTTTTTGGGGGGCCACCTTCGTTACTAATCACTCTTTCAATATATTTTTAAATTTTTTTTAATTTAATTTTTTTTTCAAGACAGTGTCTTACTCTGTTGCCCAGGCTGGAGTGCAGTGGCGCCATCTTGGCTCACTGCAACCTCCACCTCCCGGGTTCAAGCGATTCTCCTGCCTCAGCCTCCCGAGTCGCTGGGATTACAGGCACGTGCCACCACACCCAGCTAATTTTTTGCATTTTTAGTAGAGATGGAGTTTCACTGTGTTAGCTAGGATGGTCTCAATCTCCTGACCTCATGAGCTGCCTGCCTCGGCCTCCCAAAGTGCTGGGATTACAGACATGAGCCACCATGCCCGGTCCCCCATAATTTTATTTATTTATTTAATTTTTTTTTTGAGATGGAGTCTTTTTTGAGATGGAGTCTTGCTCTGTCACCCAGGCTGGAGTGCTGTGGCTCGACCTTGGCTCACTGCAACCTCTGCCTCCCGGGTTCAAGCAATTCTTCTACCTCAGCCTCCTGAGTAGCTGGGATTACAGACACCCTCCACCACACCTGGCTAATTTTTGTAAAGAAGGGGTTTCACCATGTTGGCCAGGCTGGTCTTGGACTCCTGGCCTGAGGTGATCCGCCTGCCTTGGCCTCCCAAAGTGCTGGGATGACAGGCATGAGCCACCATGCCTGGCCTACATTTTTTTAAAAAGGTAATAACAATCACTAATGGAGTTGTTTTGGGTTTTATTTTCATAATTATCCTCAGAAAGATAAAGTAAATGTCTGTACTGGCAATTTTCCCATTTCTGAGCATGCTTTGTTGAGGAATAATAAAAGATAATGACTCTGCCATAAAGACTATCTGCAAAAAAAAAACACAGTTCTTATTAATTCAAGTTTCCTCTTGCTTAAAAAGAGCCAGGACTCAGTAATCTCCATAACTTCAGAATAAACCACCCAGGACTCATCAACATCATTTTTTCCTGACACCATACAGATTTTTCTTTATTCTTCCCCTTTAAACGCTGTTAAACCAAAACCAGAAGTAATACTCAGACCTCAGAACTACTACCTGGCTTGTAGTTTAAAACATGGCTTTGGGTCAGGCATGGTAGTTTGCACCTGTAATCCTAGCACGTTGGGAGGCTGAGGTGGGAGGACTGCTTGAGCCCAGGAGTTCAACACCAGCCTAGGCAACATGATGAGATCCTGTCTCTACCAAAAAAAGAAAGAAAGAAAAAAATATATATGGATTTGTTCCTTCTTTGAGAAATGGAAATTGTATCTTGACTTTCTTTTGCGAGGGGAACAATTTAGCATTTTTTTCTAACTGTAGAAGTTCAAATGAAATATATCTCTCTTTTTGAAATTTTTTTATTTTTTGTGGAGAGGAGTCTTGCTATGTTGCCCAGGCTGGTCTCAAGCTCCTGGTCTCCCACCTCAGCCTCCTGAAGTGCTGGGATCACAGGTGTGAGCCACTGTGCTCGGCTGCAATATATATTATAGTGTGGAAATTGGCAACTATTCTCTACTTAGTTATTAGCAAACAACATATATGCCAATCCCAATGCTAAATTAAAACATGGACTATGATTAGTGATTCCTGTCTAGTTTATTTCTCATAAATAATATGGCCTTCTAATATTAAAACAATCTGTACACATTAAGGACACTGAATAAACATTCATCATGCTTTTTGTAATGAATGTTTTACTTATTAATCATTCATCCTTCTCTTCCTTCCCTACCAAATCAGAATTTCTGCTCGATTTTGACCTTCCCCTCTAGGATGTGCTTTCAGCGCAGTCTCTGGTGGCTGCTGTGCATTCTGAACCCCTCTCCCCCCTTCCTTACACTGACTTTAAGTAGAAGAGCAGCGAAATGTTGCCGTATTTACCAGGAGGCAGGGGCTGTGTGACTGGGCCAACCCCAGCCCTCCTCACCTTGTGCAGCCATGCTGAATGACCTGGCTCCTGACACACACCTGGGCCATGGCTGCCCCACTCTCAAGCTTTCTCCAGCTGTGAGTTCCTGCAGCTTCACTACCCTGGCTGGCCACCCAACTCTAAGTGCTTCTTCAGCCTTCATCGTGAGTTCTTGCTCCTCTTCCTACTTCCTTGACCAATCAGCACCCACCTCTGCCTGCAAGCTCTCATCATGCCTATGACTGCACAGATCACAGGGGCAGGGCTCATTTGGGATTCATTTGTCCATTTCTCTTATTAGGTCATAAACTCCCAAGGGCAAGAACTGTGTCCTGTTCATGACTCAATAGTAGACAGTCAATTAATGTAATCAATCTTACTGATTATATGAACTTTGAAAAGTTACGCTAGACTCTGCCTTCTCTGTTCCTCTGTCACTGATTGAGTCTACTCCACTGATTGACTATCGCGCCCAGGCAGAAAACCCTCAGTTTTTCCTTTCTAGCGGACAATATTCATCACGAGTGCAAAGAATTTCAGTAAGAACATTTAACATAGCCTAAATGACACCTATGAATTCTCTTTATTCCAAACCTTCAGGAAAGTTAAACTTCCTGCCTCCTGAAGCCACCCATCTCATCTGTGATCTGTGATCCTGTCCAGTACTGGCTGGCAGCATACAAGGACACTGGCCCCTCTGAGGCCTTCTTTCCCCACACTGACATGTCCTCACATCTACACCTCTTGAGGTCACGTGGTGTTAGGATGGACCACTGTGACCCCCATCTAAGAGGTCTGATGTGCAGCATGGAAGGGATCTGCTCCAGAGCCCTGTGTCTGATGATGTGGCTGCAGGACTAAGAACCCAAGGGCAGTGTTCTAATACAGCTCTAGGAACTGAGTAACGATCCTGACAAAGTCAAGATGAACCTGAAAGGTGCACCGTACGGTGCATGTTTCCATCTCCCCACTCCCATTGTCTGCAGCTGTGCTGTGGCCTCTTCATGCTGTCATCCTTTTTTTTTCCCCAGGCTTTCAAACTCAGGCTAAGATCCTACCTATTCTTTGAGATCATTTCCAAGGGCTACCTTCCACATAAAATTTTCTCTCCAGTCCTTGCAAAAGAATGAAATTCTTCACAGCAACGCTATAACACAGAACACATCCTGCGTGTCCTCCTATCACAGTGTGGGCTCACTTTCCTTGTGTGCTGGAGGCCCCACGGGCCTGCCCTCTGGACCATGCCGGGTTCTGTCCCTGCAATAAGCAGCTCAGGGGCTCCCACACTGTGGACAGGGAGTGGATACCCATGTAACACAGTCATCAGGCCCCAAACAGCCAGGACCTGCTGTTAAGGCAAAAGCCTAAGTACCTGACTGACCTATTTCAAAAGCGCCACCTCTCTCGCTTGCTTGTGGGACGGCGGGGACTGAGCTGATGCAGCTGGTCATTCAGCAGCCTATGCATTCTCTGTGCTCTTGTCCCCACTGAGTCCAAACACAAAGGTTATCTTTAAAAAATAAAACAATAGGCCGAGCGCGGTGGCTCACGCCTGTAATCCCAGCACTTTGGGAGGCTGAGGCGGGCGGATCACGAGGTCAGGAGATCTGAAACCATCCTGGCTAACACGGTGAAACCCCGTCTCTACTAAAAATACAAAAAATTAGCCAGGCATGGTGGTGGGCGGCTGTAGTCCCAGCTACTCGGCAGGCTGAGGCAGGAGAATGGCGTGAACCTGGGAGGTGGAGCTTGCAGTGAGCCGAGATCACGCCACTGCTCTCCAGCAGAGCGAGACTCTGTCTCAAAAAAAAAAAAAAAAAAAAAAAAACAATACCAGGAACCCTTCACCTCTATATTTTATTGTAATTTGCTGCTTCTTCATGACTTTGAGGGTGAAAATATTCAGATACTGCATAAAGACAGCAATCTCACTTGCTATAAGAACACCAACACTGGTGCTTTTAGACATAAGGTTTATCATCAAGTAGTGGCACCACTCTTACCAGATTATCAAGCATCCGCATGAGGGCTTCAAATTCCTGCTCACCAATCTGCCACTTGGGAAGCGATCCAGTGCCTTCTCCTACAGGAGACCCTGGGGAACGGGACTTGGCTTTGTACTTCTCAGGATTCAGCAGGACTAAGTTGTCTGGTCCTCCTGCACTGGCCAGAGTTCGAACCTTTTCCAAAACACACACAGCATGGCTTGAGTTCCTTACTGAGATCAAGAGGGTCAGATGACTTGAATAAAAATGCAGATTTCAAAAGAAACCAAATCTCTAGAGTGTAAGAATAGAAAATGTAGAATGCATAGTGATAGACTGATCACAGGCTTACTTTCAGATGTATTTCTTTAGCATGACAAAAATATTGGGCACCAAAGTTGGCAGAGAAATGAGAAAACACAGCACCTTTCAGGATCCTACAAAGGACTTGGGACCTCACTACGCCACAGACATAAGTCAAGAAGCAAAGGGGAGAACATGGACTAAGGGCTGACAGAGCAGAGGGGAACTCACAGCTGTAAGCTGCAGGCAACTCTCTGAGTCTCTACTTCTTTATGCCTGCTTTTTCAAAGAGTACTGTGGGGGGGTCACACGACATCACGTACGAGATGACACACGCTAAGCACCTGATGCCAGGCGTGGTACACACCAGTACTCCATAAACGGTAGTGACTGACATATTTGAAAATTTAAAAATTAGAAATGAAAAGTCCAGTAATCCTTTGCCAACTTCAATCAGTGAAACAGCATTTCTCCTGATCAAGTCCCAAATCCATGAGCTTATCTTTGGCAAAGAGATTGCTCAAGGACTCCTCGCCTACTCGATAAGTATCAAAAAATCTATGTGAACCCCAGACACATCTAAATAAACTGCAGAGTGATTGGAATGGCTGTCCCCTACCTGGATCTCACAGGCAACCACAAGGTTATGGATGTAATAGAAGGCCTCCTCAACGCTCTCTCCAACTGACACGAGCCCATGGTTCCGGAGAATAAGAACCTGAGGGGAAGCAGGAGTGCTCTATGGAGCTGGACAAGAAGACTGGTCCTTTGCTTTACTCTTCTTTCTGCTGTACTTTAAATACCAGATTAGACGCCTACTGACCTTGCTTTTAGGCCCCAGATTTTTCTGAATCAAAACTTTTTCCTCTTCATCAACCAGAATGCCATGGTAGTCATGATAAGCCACTTCTCCAAGGGAAAGTGCCTCCGGGGAGATTGGCAAGAGGCCACATTTCATCGCAGAGACCTAGAGACCAAATGGTCACCATGAAGAAGGAAAAGCCGGGGTTACACAATGACCAATGATATGGTAAATGCTTTCCTCGCAGAAATAAAATAGGAAGGGAAGTGTTTTTGTTCTCTTCTTGAAAACAAATCAATCTATGAACTTAAGACAAACTTGACTTCCAGTGCTAACAATTCACACTTAAAAACAAAATTATCCTTAAACTAGGAGAGCTTCAAAAGAAAATCCACATCTTTCTAGACTTTTTCCCACTGATTATAAGTGCTGTGTAAACCTGGATTTAATTATACAATGAGCACTGCATCTAGTGCAAGGAGCAGACCACAGACTCCTCTGAGGACTCAGTACATTTCAAAAGAAGGCTTCCCGTCAGGTATGGTGGCTCACACCTGTAATCCCAACATTCAAGAGGCTAAGGCAGGTGGATCACTTGAGCCCGGAAGTTCGAGGTCAGCCTGGGCAACAAAGGGAGACCCCCGCCTCTACAAATAATATTTTTAAATTAGCCAGATGTGATGGCATGCATCTGTAGTCAAGAGGCTACTCAAGAGGCTGAAGCAGGAGAAATCCTGAACGCAGGAATACAAAGCCAGCCTGGGCAACATATGAGACCCTCATCTCTTAAAAAAAAAAAAAAAAAAAAAGGAGGAGGTTTTCCAAGTGCTCTAAAGTTTTGTGTACTTTTTATCTTAGGTTGTAGATAACATTGAAATACCTAAAAATTAGATGAAAGCAAATTTATACAAGTTTGTATATATATAATTATATATATACAATTTATATATAATTTCTTATATAATTTCTCTACATGTATTTAAGTAAAACTGACTCTCAAAGAGAAAAATCTAAGTGTTCATAGAGTCCTTAAGTTTCCTAAAATTCCCCAGAGTGGCCTCAGAATATGCCATTTTTGAAGGTCTTCTAAAGACAAGACCTATAGACAGCAACATTATGACCCTAAAGTAACAGGCTCCGAAGATTCAAAAACTATCTTTAGGTACAACAATTCCATACAGAAAAGTTCATCTAAAAAGACAGTACCACATTTAACTCCTTCCATAGTATCAGCTCTCATACAAGAAATTTCCTTACCAAGCAAAATTATTTTGATAATTTTAAAAACAGGCTGGGCGCAGTGGCTAGTGTCCATAAACCCAGTAATTTGGGAGCCAAGGCGGGCAGATCACTTGAAGCCAGGAGTTCAAGACCAGCCTGGTCAACATGGTGAAACCCCATCTCTACCAAAAAATACAAACATCAGCCAGGTGAAGTGGCATGTCCCTGTAGTCCCAGCTACTCAGGAGACTGAGGTGGGAGAATTGTTTAGAACCCAGGAGGTGGAAGTTGCAGTGAGCCAAGATCGTGCCACTGCACTCCAGCCTGGGAGACAGAGTGAGATCCTGTCTCAAAAAAACAAACAAAAACACATTACATGATAGCTGTTCATAACCATATTGTCAAAAGTACCTTTAATACTTCTTGGCCGGGCACGGTGACTTAAGCCTGTAATCCCAGCACTTTGGGAGGCCAAGACGGGCGGATCACAAGGTCAGGAGATCAAGACCATCCTGGCTAACACGGTGAAACCCCGTCTCTACTAAAAAAAAATACAAAAAATGAACATTATTTACTCTGGTCTTGATTTCATCGTGGTTAATAATAATCCCATTGTGCTGAATGATGTGAATGCTTTTTTTCTCCTGGAAGAATGCATCGTTCACTTCCAGCCACTGAAATGTTATGGATTTTTTAAGAAGTTTGTTTTTTTTTTTTTTTTTTTTTCTTTTTGAGTACAGAGTCGTCTGCTCTGTCGCGCCCGGGCTACGAAGGTGGCGGTGGGCGCGATCTACCAGGCCCACTGCAAGCTCCGCCTCGCCCCTGCGTTCACCGCCGATTCTCCTTGGCCGCCTCGCCTCTGAGTAGCGGGAACACCGGCTGGCCCCGGCCACCATCCGCCCGGGCTTAGG